CTTCACTTTGCTACAGGTATCAGTGGTGATATTGCCATTAGTTGGTGTTACCTGTGGTATTTACATATATTTGATAGCAAAACAATCTCCTTATATGGTCCAGGGAACTAGCTATGTAAAGAAATACATTTTGCCATTAAATTTGTAGTCTGCTCAAATATATATTCTACAGATACAAACCATACAACTGCTCTGGATAAATTGGCTGCTAGAATTTCTTCTCATTTGTCTTGAAGAGTTGCAATTAGAAGAATATTAGACTATATTAGAAGAATATAAAAGTCAGAGCTAAATTTAGGCAACGGTATTTGAAAACAAATAATTTGTCAGATTTTCATGAGATCTTACCTTTCTTATTTTTCTATTGTATTTAAAGGGGACTCTAGCTGCAAGTAAATATCAAAACTATTTGCTCACCCAAGAATCACATAAAAGCTTGGTAAATTTTGTTTCTAGTTTTATATTTTATGATTTCAAAAATTCTACATATTTCTTAATGTGATCCAACCATATGTCTTAAAATTCTCAGATTCAAAGCATCTGTAGATCAAGATTACTTTGAGATAGAACCCCATTTAAGGCCAAGATATTATGATCCTGGTGCCACTGTGCTGGCAAGGTGATCAAAAAGCCCCTTAGGCCTCTTTTATCAACCTTGGGTGCACATCAAAAGCCCAGAGGACCCATGGACTCATGGAGATTCTCCAACTGGGGAACATAGAGGTTATTATTTTAATCCAGTGTCCATGTTCCTCCTATATCAGAGGAGAGCTACCATTTTTTCCCCCATTTTTCCTGTTCTCCTGGACAATCACTGGAGATTTGTGAATATCAACAGTCCTTCAGAGCAGAGGCTCTTCAGATTAAGGAAGGAACTTCATTCACCCACAAATATACCTAAGGAACCACATTGCCTTCAAGTTATGCGGTCCAGGTAGCAACACAAGAAAGTGCTAGCAAGAATGGGTAATTGAAGACTACTTTCTTACCGGGTTGAAGTAGAACAAAAATTTCATCACCTCCTGCCCGTTGGTGACCTCTGAAGGCCAGAACAAGTATTACCATGCTCAGTGCTACTCAGATGATGCAGTTTGTTGCAGAGAAACTACGCGGCTCAATTTGTTCTCAGCAGGGCTGTGCTATTTCTCGTACCACCAGCCTGATGCACCATCCGCCAACCACCCCGGGCCCCGCAGGGAGAACAAGCACCTGCCCTCACCACCTTTGCCAGGCCTAGCTTGGAGCCCAGCGCCTGCTCTGCAGCTGCCCAGCTCTTGCTTCCTTTGTCTGCAGCAGCAGAGTAACAAAGCTGGCGTGGCCGGATAGTCCCTTACTTGTTTTTAAAAAAAAAAAAAGGTCCTCCAAGCACGGCCAAGAAGTTTTGCAAGTTCTACTGCTCTAGCCAAAGGTCTCGTAGCATGGCCTAAGAACAGAAGGAAGAGGATCTTACCTCTGCTTACCTGGTGAAGGGCTCTCAGCCAAGCTGCTGTCTCACTTCCAGAGCAGAGCCTGCCAGTCCTGCCTTTCATTTCCATTTAGCCGTAAACCCAGTGTTGTAGGCTACAAATGGCACCATACATCTTCCTGACAAGTATTTTATTCCGGTTATAAAGGTGTGGACATGTTCTGGCACACTCTGGCACACCGTGCTTGAAAATCACTTCTTTATCTAAAGCTCAGCTGTTTTTAAATGCTCTTTGCCTTCCTGAAGATGAAGTAGGACAGTTTGGGATTCCTGCCACAGCCAAGAGCAGTAAGATCCTTTGCCAAAAGAGTTGGCAGCCAGGACACTCCACATCTGGTGTAAATGTATACACACACAACCTGTAAAACCCAGGAATCTTGGATCCTTACAGGATGTTGCTAAATTATTTTCAAATATACGGTTATCTTCAGGCTGACCTGTGCGTATGAAGCATTGGGAAGTTATTTCAAATCTTCCTTATGGTTGTGTGGCTTGAGTCATGTATCTCCACTATTATCCATAGGAGCATCCATATGGATATCCATGTGTGTATACACACTCTCTGTATAAATACAAACACAGAGCCTGGGGAACTCTGTCCTCTCACCCACACTGCAGACTTAACTCAAGAGAAACAATGCTTCTACCTCAGATAAACACACACGGTGGGTCAAAACAAGGAAACAGTCTGTGGTGGTTGGACATCAACAGCAAAATGAGAAACTAGAATACTAGAGAAGATGCACCAAAGACATTACTTCCCATGGTACACTAACATCAGCTTTCAGCACTTGTATTTCTTTTAAATGTGGTTATCATTCCTATTTTTGTATTATGTAGCTTCAGTCTCCATTTTAAAAGACTTTACTGAATGATTTTGCTCTCTCCTGTAGTAGTACCTGAAGCACAAAGTGTGAACAGCCAGTAAAAACTCATCCTTACATTAAATTACCAAACCAGTCTACTCTCTGGCCAGGTTTTCAGCAATGGTACCTCTGTGTTCAAACATATGCCTGGTTTCAATACCATAAGGTTATGCTAATAAATAAATAAAAATTCATACCCCCACAAATATGCTTTCCTCACCTATATATAAAAATAAATAGCAACAGTGTTTGGACCGCAGGATAATCACATAATTAAGAGCAGTTTTAAAATGTAGAAGTAGAGGGAGGTGGTTTTCTTTAAAGTCTAGTTTAAAGAACAAACAAAGTGAAGTAATGGCTGACACAAACAGTAAAGTTACATTTCAATTATCTAAACAAGATCCTAAATTCCATAGAATCATTTTTTCTGCTGGAAGCTGCAGACCTACAAAGACAGTTCAAGCTGTTATGTATTAATTATCACACAGATGTAATAAGTGAACTCTAGTGCTAAAACTTTAGTCCAGTGAACTATGAGCTTTGTGAATGTGTTTGACTTGTCTCAGGATTCCTGACCCATTTTGTAACATTCATTTCTCTGCAGCCTTTAGATGAAACCAGAGACAGACAATTATTCTAGTAACTACTTGTCCATATTTAGTTATTTTTTTTCCAAATAACAGAGTAATTCCTTTAAAACTTTTTTGAAAAAAAAAAAATCAAACCTGCATAAATGCATGAAAATTAAGCACAACACAATGAACAGAACTGCCTTAGAGATAAAGTTAACATAATTGTAGGGCTATCTGATAAAAGCCTCCTTTACATGGCATGTAGTTAATAGGAGGTTTAATATGAGTATGATCACCTAAAACTGGCATCACAACTAGCAGGGCTTTTGGCAACCAGTAAAATTGACGTTTGTATCTTGTTCTGGGTTACGATGACTATTCTTCACATCACTATAATATAAACCTCTGAATTTTTCCCCCATAAGATTCCAAAGCCAGATTCTAATTGATGTTTAAGTTGCCTTTGTATATAGTGCCCATACGGTGTTGTATCTAATCATATAACATGCAAAACACAGTAAAAATGATTGGAGATGTGACAAGTAGATTTACTAACAGTGACTTGTTTTCACCTGAGCATTCTATATTAATGTAATTATGTATATAACTAGGAATATATATCCCAGCCAGGTGGAGGCCATCAAATTAGACTAGTAAGAGTGGGACGGGAGAGTTTATGATCAGAGCGTTGCAGTGTGTGTTAGGGCAAGACCCCCATTTCACGACTACTGTGGAAAAAAAATGGAATTGAAGAACAAAGTAATTATTTTCATCAATTCAGTGTTCTACTTTAAAAAGCCACCCCTATAATACTACAAGCAAAATAAGTATGGAGACACACACACACTCCAGATCAATCATTTTTAATGCGTTGACTTTGCTCAACATTTTAATTTTCTTGTGAATCGCAGTTGAGAAGCAACTACAAACGCAGCCAGAACTGACCATAAGTTCAAGTGATCAAAACTAGTTCTTACCAGTCCCTACAGGTGACTACATTAACAGGGGAATGAGGACAACCACCTCCTTTCAGGTGATGGCAGTGCCCTCAACTCGCATACAGGCAAATCAGGAAGATTCCAGTTCATACGCTGTCTGAAGAAAGCAACTGCATCATCTTGCTCCCTCCTCTCTGCATGCCAAGAAGCTTCACCTACCTCTCTGTCAGCAGATATGCTCTACCTGAAGACAAACAGCAGTACATAAGGACAGTGACATTTGTTATTAATGTAAGTAGGAATGAAAATATCGACAATTTATGCAAAATGTAACAAGAGTAATTTCTGCTGGTTTAGACCCCACACACGATGTTAAGGCACTTCTGTTACTAATAAAGCTTTGTAGGTAACTGTATTTCAGTATTCATGCCCTGCACTGATGTGCAGATACTGAAAGCCCAGTGGGGATCAACTCTAGCAGAGACTCAGAGAACAGAAAGCGTCTTCCCAATTCTCCCGTACGTACTTTCACTCTGCCGCCACGTAAACTAGGGAGGAAGGCTGACAATTCTGAAAGAAAAATCAAATCAAGAACTTAATCAAATCAGAAACCTGCTGTGTTTTTGTTCTTGGCTTTTTGTGAACAGCAAAAAAAAAAAAAAAAAAAAAAAAACCACACACACACACAGTGTGCTTTCCTAATCCTAGTTTTCTGTAATAATGTAGAATCCCTGAGACAGCTTCACCAGATGAAGTATTAGCAAAGCAAAGCGTTCTGGTTTGCATCCTCTAACAAGACAGCAGCAGAAGGAAGAGGAATGGCAACAACCAAACTTCCACAAGTCACCAGTGAGGGGCCCTTTAGAAAGTAGCACCTTATTCATCATACCAGGTACAATCATTTATAATGGAGTAGACAAGTGTGCACATTCAGTGACTTTAGAAAACTATTATACTAGAAAGCAGCTACATATCACTTACTGATCTTGCCTAGGAACGTATTTAACCCCCTACCTGAGGTAAGAGTCTTTTTCTTCCTCTGATGAAGTAATACTTTTAAAGAAAAAAATCTTGATTATTTTATTTTTCATATTTTACACATATAGATGTATTTGCAAATGTATAAAGATAAAAAAAACAAAACCATCTGTACATAAAACACAGGAATTAAAGCTTCCATGAATAAAGTCTTCAATCTACAAATTTATTTGAAAGTCATTGTATTAAATAAAGCACCATTAAAACCCAATAAATGGGGAAGAGGATGAAGAGGAAAATAGCGACCACGCAACATTTGTGCTCGGCCCTTCCCAGATATCTTTTATGCTCGTCAAATCTCTGTTCTCAGTGAAACTTGAAAACCCTCCAAAATCTGAGTTTACCTCACTTGTTTGAAATAATTCCAGTAAAGCCTGCACCGGTGAGCTACAAGCACTTTTCTTTTCTTCGGACATAGATAATCCATCAGCGTTCTTACCAGACAACTCTACGTTCTGTTTCCATTTTTCTCTTTTATGTTTTCCTAAGCAAAGCTTTACTTTTCTGTGCAGCTTCCCAGATGGTGAACTGGGTGCTGTGCTGGCAGCCCATCCATTCAGCTCCTTGCTTGCAGCGGTACCAGAGGCATTCATATCCAGAACAACATTGTGCTCTAGCTGTTGATGATCGTCATACAAATCATGATGTTTTTTGATCAAAACAGGATTTGCATCCATTTTCTTCAGACACTTTGCTGGCTGAAGTACTGCATTATTTAATTTTCGTTTGGGCTGTGGTAAGGTTTTGTCCTTTTTAGTAAAATCTGTACCTTGAGTATGAGAATGTAATGAACACACACCTTCCTGTAAGCTCTGCAAATCCTTTCTAGGTACCTCTGGTTCAAAGATTTCTTTACTGAATGGCTCAGAAGCTTGAGACAAGTTCTTGATGTTTGCTTTGTCATCCTTCTGAGGCAGTAGCTGTATGAAGCTTGATGACAGAATAGTTTCTTTTATGTTTGAATCAGTTTTACTGTTTTCAACATTATTCCTCAATTTACCTTTTGCTTCTGAAAGTTGGGATAGATGACAGTGAAGAACTGAAGAGGCATATCCAGAAGGAGGGGGAGGCACTGGCATGGAATTTGAGTGTACTTCAGTAGGCCAATGATCCACCTTGAGCACCTGCATCGTACTATCCTTCCATGAGTTACTTTTCAATGAAAAGCACTGTCTTTTGAGTCGTTCTTTCAGCTCATCTGGTTTAGCTACTTTTCCAATAATAGGAGAAAAATATCCTGAACTACATTTTGTCCTTAAAAAAAAAAAAATTACAATGATTAACAGGCTAATTGTTGAATTCAACTAGGGTAACAACATCACTTTAACCATGCAGTGCACACACACAAAAAACTAAAAAAAGCAACAAAGCACATGCACACTCCCCTCCCCATCTGTTTCTCTAGGAAGCGTGTGCCTTGTTTTTGAATTTGATGTTTCCCGATTGATTGCTCATGGAAATAATTTTAAATTCTCATGGAATTACTTTTAAAAATGCCCCAAGCAAGCAGTCCAGCAGCTAAATAAACTTCAGTTCACAACAGTATTAAGAACAAATTTAAGGACTATAATGGTATTATAAAATGACTATATATTCTTACAAATAATCCAATACATTGAAAAAAAATAAGCATTATATTTTCCTGAAATAGTATTTCAAGCCTAACCACTCTGAGCCCTTTCATATCACACAAAGGAAGAAATGCTTGCCTGCATTAGGCATTGCTGGCCTTCATTTATCTCCTGAATCATTTATCAGTAAAGCCAAGCAATCTTGAATTTAGTCACTGTTGCAACTAACCAAGAAAGCTGGGCTTAATTAAAGACACCTTTAAGACACCTTTAAGCAGCACTATCCTTTAGAATTTACTCATTTTCACCTAAATATTTCAGGATACAAGTCCTCTCCTTCTCCCATTCAAACTTTAGAGGATGAAGACACAATAAACACGTGCATATGTGTATGTACAAAGAAACTGGAGAGGGAAGAGAACAACTGATTTGAGAGCTTACTATATTTTATCTATTTGCCTCTTTAAAAAAGAAAAAAAAATCAGTGAGAACAGAGCTGTGCAGATGCCTTTATAAAACTTTGCATTTTCGGTTACATAGTAAATTAATAATAAACACAACAAAAACAAATCATTATAGAAATTATTATACATTTTTCCCAATTTTTTATAGATTAAATATTCCATATATTATTATAGAAATAAATACACATCATTTTCACAGACCGCAAAGGAAGCGGAAAATGTCATTTTCAAGAATGCAACTACGGGGGAGGGAGAAAATAATAATAATAATAATAATCAGCTTCATGGAAAGAAACTGCTTTCCTTAACCAGCACAGGCAGAAGAGAAACCAGCAGCTTTTGAGAGGAAGATGCGAATTACACTAGGAAAAGTTTTCCCACTAATAAGGAGATCGGATTGATGAGGGAGGCTATGATTTAACCTATTTAGTTGATTTTCTTTTATAAAGCTGAAGAACAGACAACTACTCGTTCCAGCCTTATTTTCCTATGATGCATAATGACTTTTTTCCACCAAAATTTCTGTTTTAGAGAACAGATTCCTCAAGTAACTGTTGCAGTGGAAATTTCAGAAACATATTTAAAAATATGAACTTGTTCTGCACCAGATTCAGAGTTGAACTACAGGATCTAAGTGTTCCACGTCTTAATTCATTCTGCTTTAAAAGTTAGAGGATGTAACTTACCTTTCAATTACTTTTGCATCATCTTTGTATTGAACAAACTCATAAGCAAACTTGGAGATGATCTCATCTACCACGTGATACTGTGTGCTCTGTGCGAAGCTGCGATGCTGCTCACTTTCAAGATGCTGGAAAGACAAAAGAGCCGTGGAGCAGAGCTGGTACTACACATGTGAGCACACAAATCAACGCAATGATACGGGGCAGTGAGCGAAGTGTTGGTTATTTATTATTAACAGGTCTCCAACACGCAAAATGCACTTTGAGCTGCACTATCTAAAGTCAGCAATTGGTACAGTAATTACTTCAGGAAAGAGGAAAAACAAAACAAAAAGCTTGCAACTTTTTAGAAGCTATACTTGAAATATCTTTTACAATAAAAAATACCTTTTAAATTTAAGACTTATACACTCAAAAATTTAAGACTGTTTGAAAACATATACTTGATATTTTACATACACTTTGCAGATCTTCATATTTCTTCCCACAACATTCACAATATCCTCTCTTTTTTTTATCCTTCTGAGGGAGCTGAACAGGAGTTCCACAGTCCTTTTCACTATTTGTTTTGTTTCTGTTAACAGACAAGATATATATTAGTCTTAAATGTGGAGCTCTACCCTGAACTTGCTTCTCATGTTATTTGTTCATTCTGATTCAGTAAATTCCAAAGAAAAAAAAAAACTGCTCAAAATATTTATATTACATTAATCAATGCTTAGGAAAACACAGGAAAGAAAATACAACATAATGATTAAATTGAAAATAAAACAAACAGATTTACTGAAACAAGTTAGGAAGACCCTCTGAAACTATATGAAAGAGTAAAACTTGTCCAGGTGAAATATATAAATATAGATAGATAGATATATAAAAGTATAATCTCAATTGACAAATCAAAGGCAGTATTGAAATCTCAATGAACAGCAGATAAGTGAAGAAAACTAGTAAAAGGAGGAGAAGAGAAAAAGAATCCTAACATCTCATCTGCCATCAGTCTTCATCTCCAGACAACATGCAGAAAAAGCCTTTGGTCTAATAGATGACTTCTCATTCCTAAATAGAACAGTCATATTTGTTGGCTGAATGTAAGTTCAACACGCCAACTAAATACCTTTTCTGCCCATTTTTCTTGCTACAGATTTAAGTGGAAACATGGGGAACGAGCTCTTCTCTCACATAAAAGCACACAATGATTTCAGTATCACTTCCATTGCCTTCAATTTTTTTTGTTTGCTACTGTTTGCTGTAATTTGCTATTATACTTCCACAGGAGGATATGCTAGTAGTAAACCACAAGCATCCACCTCTCCATTCCTTTTAGCCAGGAGGAACAGTGCCACCTCCCTGCCTAGTCACAAATCAGCACCGTCCTCCCGACCTGCCCTGTTCCAGCACAGATGCAACTGCAGGGTCTGGATATCAAACCCTGTCCTGACAAACCACCACCTTGCACAAAGCAGCGTAAGGTACTGCCTGGCGTGATACATTTGGGCTACCTTCTAAACCAGCTTTCAACAAACAAGAGTCTAATTCGACAACAGCCATTCCAACATTTTGTTTATTTCACAGAAGAGGCTCTCACTGTGTTTTTACCTCTATTAACAAGGGCTTTTTCATTTTCTCTCTTTAAAACTATAAAAGATTACAAAGAATTAGGAAAGTTTGTGATGACACAATAGAAGGGTTAGAATTTACTATCAGAAGAATACATAATGTTGGTAGGCCTTGTTTTATGCAGAAGCAAATAAATTTGACAACTTAAACAAGCTTCTCTTTCCCAGAGAAGACAAAACAAATGAGCATTCCCAGTAATCCCTCCCAAAACTGATGGCCCTCTGGCTCACACTCACCTATTTCATACATGAAATAATATCCCACTGAAGCCCTCTGTGGAAGGTGCCAAATTGAAAAACTAAGTAAGAAATATTCACAGCAACTTAGTTTCTGAAGTTTATAACTTGCATATCATATTCCTTAGTTCATACAGAGTAGAACATTGTCTCTTTAAGATACTCAACACAATAAGGGGCCCTTTCTAACCCCTTCACAGTGAAAAAGGCACCACCACAAATCCCTTCACTGCTGCCCAGGTTACCACTGTGCTACACTTGTTCTGCTTGCTACATTCACTGCCAAATGGAGAGGGAATCACGGCAACATCAACTGACACTTCCAACAACAGAACAACACTGAAGGCTGTACGGACCATGAAGAATCCAGCAATTATTTTATGAAGACAGCAAGTATTGCATCTAAATCATACATTTATTTTCCTAAAGAAAACACACATCACACTGGAAGACCAAGTAACTGCAGATAAAATGGTCAGTGTGGCTGTGTTAGACAAAAACACTTGCATTAGAAAATGAAGTACTTTGTATCAGAAACTACAGAGGACTGAAGAGCAGAAAAACTTATCAGATACAGAAAGTGCTGTGAAAAGCTAATTTTCTTCTCACTAAATAAGCTTAGTCTTTCACATGAACACTGTAATATCAATTTTGAAGTTAATGAAATAGTCATCAATGCTTCACGTATCTTACGTGGAAGGAGTTCAGGAAAGCATTATTCAAATCACCATAGAAACTTTTAAGTAGGGTCAAACCATAAACTAATTCACCAAAAATTGTAACTGCATCTACAGTGCTCAAACACAGCCTGAAAGCCAAAACATGCCATCTGAACCTTTGTTACAAGGCCAACCACAGTTCCATTGCTATAGGTAGTATCTACTTTCCATGTCTCAAGAATTCAAGCTATATTACTGAACCTGATTTTTATACACATAATTCTCCCACGTAAAGCAGGTGCACCCTTTAGCAGCAATGATTCTGTATCACAACTGAAGTTGCATCACAACTTTAATATTTAAAAATATTAACTGTCTAGTTTATGCTGACTATAAAAGTGTTAAATGAAGATCCATCAGATTTACTTGTAAAATATTTACTGGATGGCATCCAAGATGAGGACAAAGAAGAAATCAGTGGCAGAAAGGAGTAAGATATCTTATGCTGACCCAGGGTAATAGGAGAAGACCAAATATCTGTATGTATCTCTTTGCCCAAAAGAGAGACTAAAGACAGAATAAAGAAGGTACAGAAAGACAGACAAACACCAACAGCTATAGAGAATACAACAACCAAGACATGCATATGGTGTTAGGTATCATAAAAGATAAGAGGAGAAGCAATTATTTTGGAAAACGGACTCTTCACCTCTTTTTCCTCTATCCACAACTCAATAATGAATTTTCAAGATACCTTTGCTTAGCCTGAGCTTGTTTTTGACCACAGGGATGCTTCTTATCTGCTTCAAATGGACTATATGGTTTTGGAACACAGTAGTTCAGAATTGGGAAATTGGGTAACTGCAGGTAAAATGGTCGGTAGTGGCTGTATTAGACAAAAGAGTTGTGTTAGAACCACTGGAAAATTTAAAAAAAAAAAAAAGTAGCTCAAAAAGTGTTTGTCTTTTACACATAATATACATAATCTTCTGGGATATTTATCTGCTTAGCATTTTAAATCATTCCTTCCTTCTCAACCTGAGACTTTCCTCAAAGCAGAAAATTTGCCTTGAGTTTCAACAGCTGTCTTACACAGTCTGCAAGTGTATGGCTTTCATGCCTGTGCAGAACTGAGTAACAAACAATACAATCCACATTCCAGAGAAGTAACTAGAGCAGCACTGCGAAAAAATAAAGTTAGATTAATGGCTTTTTATTTTTAAGAAAAAAATTGATCAAGAAAATAAAGACATTTCTTGAAATTGATTTTAAGTACAGCATTTTCCTTACACCTACCTAAACACTTTATCAAGGAGATGAATGCTACTGAACTGGAGGACAAGATTTTACGTTAATACACAGAGTTTTTTTAACCTTTTAGGCTGCAGGATTGGAATCCAAGAAAAAAAAAATAGGTGAAATATCAAGGCTCAATTATTTCAAGTTTCCTTTAAATTCACCTGGCTCTTGGCAGGACACAAGTCTGCCCGACCTTACAACCAGAAGCTATAATTTATTCTCTACTGCCTCTTTGATCTCATTCAGTGGCTAAACACAGATACCTACCACAGAGCATGTGACACAATTTTGCATCTTACTAGAGGAATCCTGCTATGCATAACATCTAAAGTCAGCAAAACCAAAAAGACATCTGAAGGCTACTTCCTCAAGGTATACAAGGTGTTTCTCAGTGATTCACTTTACAAACTGCATTACAAATGTATAAAGAACACTTACCGACTTCTATCTTCCACCTTCACAAATGGGTTTTTCAGTTTACCTGGTTCAGGGAGGAAAAAAGTAAATTAAAAGAAAAATACTTTTCTTCATTTAGGAAGTTACTTCAATACCTGAATAGATGAGCTGACATTATTTTAAAACACATCATGCTTGTTTTAACAGACTCCTGATTCCGAGGAAGTTTTCCCAAAAGCTTTTCTAAAGCCTACAAACTGGAATATATCAACACGCTTCACCAGATGAGAACCATACTTTACTTTTAAATATTCAATATGAAACCTCTGCACACACCGAAATACTCACTTCTTGACTTTTGCACAGCACATCGTTTTCCCTGTTAAAAAAAGGGAAAGAATAAAACCACTGTGAATAATATTTTGCATTTTACTTAATACTTCGCTTCTATTTTTCAGTGATATTTTAAAATCAATCCATAAAAATCTCTTAATCAATGAAAAACAAAGCAAGCAAGAGTTTACTAAATTCATATCAATCAGCATTTTTCTGTTTGCCATTTGTCTTTTAATGAAGAAAATCTTACAAAGATTCACTTACCACATCCTTAGAACTGCTCGCTTTTTTGACTAGGTAGAGCTCCTTTTTCTTTTGTTCAATGTAATTCTTAATATCTTGCAAAAAATGGGAGAATTAAATACAAAAATTAACTCAGCTAAGTATAAGCGATTTGTTTTTTTTGGTTGGTTGGTTTTTTTTTGTTTTTTTTTTTAACGTGCATGCAACAAAATAATAGTTAAATCAATGCTAAAAGTTCAAATTAGAATTTATCAACAAAAATATTTACCATCAATATGAAGTATCTTCACTCCCCAACTCAAAGCATTGGATAATATGCTACCAGAGGGAATTAATTCCTGCAAACAGTAAACTTCATTAATACTTTTAAATAATACATGACAAAGTGTAATATAAAATCAAATAATAGGACACCCGAAATCAAAGAACAGACTCCCCCCCCCAAAAAAAAAAAAAAGATTGTCACTTTCCTCAGCTGTTTTTTCCATCTCTATTTCACAGCATTTCATGATCAAAAGGAGATTATACTTACCTTTCACATAGCCAAAACTGTAAAAAACCTATTGTCTAAACCTATAGTAACTAAGAATTTGAAGATATTGAATTGATCCATTTACTTTAATTTCACTAGGACCTCTTACAAATGCTAAACATAGTAAAAACCTGGCTAAGTTATATAATTCTGGTCGTAAGACTCTACAGACACTTCCAGTTCTTCAGGCAGTACCCCACAAACGTGACCTGACTGCTGAGAAGAATCCCAACTTCTGCTTGCACGTTCCATGAGAACTGTGTTGGACCCTGATTCTTCTTCTCACTGCTTGTTTTTGAGAAGAGCAACACAAACTCATTGTTTTTTTTCAGCACAAATCTGCAGGTTAGTCATCTTACCTGCTCTTTGATTGCTTTTTCAACTAAAGATTTTCCTCTGCTCATTCGTACCTACATTAAAAGAGAAACACTATCACATTTGCAGTTAAGTTAAAATCCATTTCAGAAGGCAAAAGCTAAGGCAGGTTAAATTTCAGCTGACATACCTATTTTAACTATAGTAGTCTCCTTTTTTTCCTGATTGTACTGTTGTTTTTCACTAGTTTGCATCTTCCCTAAAAGGTTGCAGTTGATTGAGTCTGACCACAAAAGTACTTATTTTTTGGCATTCGCTTTGGCCAAAAACTGAGCTTCCAGCAACTGGAATCTATGCCAAATTAGGCCAACAGTCATGAAGGTGACCATAACCTCACTCTTAGCCACTGTCTTCTAAAGTGCAGCTTGTTCTGAACACTATTTGTTAATAATGACCATACACACACCTATAATGACTATACACATGCCTATTTGGTACTATTTTTGTTGTTTGCAAGACAAGGTGATTCCCATCTGTTTTACAGTACAAAAGACCAGCACTCCAGCTGGCTCACGGCCATAGTCTTAAGTAAGTGCCATGTACTGTACAGCTTTAGTTTCTACCTGTATTCTCAATACTCGTATGACTTGTCCATGCAACAAATTTCAAGCAAGCCTATGCAAATTTAGGCATCTATAGTTTCTGTATAGGCTGTATTCCTAAGGAGACTGGGGGCATCAGGCGCCCTCACAAGACTGCCCATACTGATCCAGTTGTCAAACATAATAGGATCAATGTTCAATCATAATTCTAACATTACATATATGACAGAGCGCTGGAACAGGCTGCCCAGAGAGGTTGTGGAGTCTCCTTCTTTGGAGATCTTCAAAACCCGCTTGGACGCAGTCCTGTGCCACGTGCTCTAAGTGACCCTGCGTGTGCAGGGGGGTTGGACTAGATGACCTCTAGACCCCTTCCAACCTTAAGCATTCTATAATTCTATGATATATATATACACACAACAGATTTTAGTATGGTTGCTTTATTTGCAGCAAATGTTTTTAATTATTTTTGGAAACTCTGCTTAATTAGTTTGAGTTTAAAATTTAAAAGATTTAAGAGATACAAAAATGTATTAACACAACAGACATCTTTAAGAAAAAAAATTTACGAGAAAAACTAGAAGAGATTATCTCACAGGTTGTACTCGATTCATAAGCAACTTACTGCATCTGCTGTCTTAAATGAATTGCCATCATGTCGATCTCTTCGGCTGCTGGGATGAGGTGAACTGTTACCTCCATTTTGGGCAGATTCTGGGCTAGGGGCTGGAGAAATCTGACCAAGGGTCGGTGCAAATTTTGCCTCCTTTTTAGTAGAAATGAGATAGCTAATGTCTTTGCTAAGAAAGCCTTCCACTTTCTAAATAAAAAGGAGAAAAAAAAAAGCTTTATTTCTGGTCAATATATCAGTTAACTCTCTGCTTTGCATATACTAAACAGAAAAAAATGATTTGCAGGAAATAAGTATAAAAATGTTGAATAATCAAGATATTTCTCTAATCTAAGATGACAATTAGAATTAAGTAACAATTACATTTTACCTGTCAAAATTTCTATTTTCTATTTCTTAATATTATATTCTGTCAGACTAGATAATGTGTAAGACTAATGCTAAGTTTAAAGAGCTGTATCTAATTTGAATCGTTTAGTAATATTTTGTCTCTACTGAAAATTCATATAGTACCTTGCTTCACAAGTGTTAGTTTAATACCTGCTCCTCCAGGATCAAAAAACAAAAAAACACTCTGCCAAAATAATTTCAGAGGGGTTAGCAGGTTAAGCAGCTCCCTTTAGCTGCTCTGATTAAAGGCATTTTTTGACAACTGTACAGTTGAGATTCCTTCATATAAATTCAAACAATTCAGTGTTGAAGCAGACAAAACAATTGCCCATCTTTTCTGTTAATATGATACCCTGTGCTGGGCTTGGATGAAAGTGACTTTTCCATATATAAAGGATGAGAGAAATAGAAAAAAGTATCTTAAGAATGTGGCTTTCAGCAGTTTGCTTACAGCAAATGCCCGAAAGTCCTAAGGTTAAAGGGCAGATTCTCAGTGGAGTTTGCTATACAAACCCCTCAGTTTAAAGTCCCAGGCTGACCCTGCTCTTTATACTGTTTACAGGCACACATCACTGTCCTTTCTTTAAGCCATTGTTCCTATTCCACACCTCAGCACCCACGCTTTTACTCCTGTTCTTAACTATTCCCGGACTCTGCCCTTCTTTAGCTGATACCCTGTCCCCCATACTGTAGTTCATGTTTCAGACATCAGTTTTCCACCTACCCTACAAAATGTTTCTCTCGAAAATCATTTGGACCCAGCAATCCCACAAGCTCTCTTTCTCCAATTCCTTCTCCACTGTCTGCTCTGAACACAAAGATGGACAGATACATCCTCCCTCTTTCACCAAGTGATAGCTACCCCAGCTCAGCCTTTATAAACCTGCCACCACACCACGTGCTTCAGGCATTCAGGCAAAATAAAGCAAAACACCATAAAAGCGCTTAACTCAAGAAATAATCTTATTGAATAACCTGTACCAAGCTTATAAGCATTAGGGCTCATTGAGAAATTTTATATCTATTTTAAGACTTTCTAGAAACATATGCAAAACATTACTCGAATACCATTTTTAGGCTCAGCCGAAAAACCGTAGTTGTAACATTTTCTAACATGCAAAGAAAACTGTCAAAATAGTCAGAAGTTGCAGAAAATTTCAACTCAAACAACTAAACTTATTAAACCTAGATAAAATTCTAACAAACAAATTAATAATCAACTAAAACCAAGCTTCAACCCCCTTTATTACAAATAGCGTAGTGTCTTTTATCAATATAATAAATGAAATAATTTATTGATAAATCCATCATTCACATGGATTTATCACTACCAAAAAATTTAGCACATATATAGTATACATAACTTCAAAATGCAGTAAGAAAAACAAGGGAAAGTCATCCCACATGGACAGATTTTCCTCTAGTTTCATAAATGTCTGTTTATTAACTTACCCCTCCTAGATCTTTAAGGTCCTTCTCTAATTTTTCAGAGATCACATTTGACGGAATATCAAGGTAAAACACCTTCCCAGTAAGTGGCTTATATTTAAGTTTCTCTGGTTTTATTATATCTTTTTTCACTGTCTTCAGAGAAGATTTTAACTTTTCCGCTTTTGCTTGCATTCCACTTGCTGCCAAAGAAAGGGAAATTTAAATGCTTGTACAGTAGGTATTCCTGTGTTTAATTTTTCTTCTGAAAACAAACAAAAAGTTTAAAATACTGGAAAGGAAAAAGCAAGCTTCTACATAGTATACAACTTTTAAAATAAACTGTTAACGTCATCATAGCTTTGCTTATCTCTTAATTTTTAGAAGACAACCATTTAAAATATCTAAGACCAAGGGCTACACAAATGGCTTGAGCCCCTACGCAGCAAACATTCTTTCCACACTATTTTTCCATATCCATTGCCATGGAATTCAAATAGGCTATCAAAATTCTTGAAAACAGACATGTGTGTAACTAATTGCCCACTTGAACTCTAGGTATTAAAAAAAATTGCTTTCCTAAAACAAAAATAATTAAGAAAATAAAAACACTGCCAGTGCTTGCATATTCCATCTTAAAACAGCATATATATCCCTGATATATAGTGTCCTCACTCTTCTCAGCCAGCTTCGCAAATCTCTGCTATCTTTGAACCACTATGTAGATACCAGCTTCTAGTCACTGATGACCACCAGAGCACCCTTTTGGAGAAACACAACTCATCACCCTCTACTACTCATCTGAAAGAGAAAGGATTTACATAGATACACCGAAACAAAAGCAGCTGAAAAGTAACTGAAACTACAAAAGAAAAACAGAAAAAAAAAAAGAAAACAAAACAAACCTGTAAGACCAAGATTCTCCCTTTTGTTATCTGAGCACCCCACCTGAGAGGCAGTAAGACTATGCTTAATTCCAGGAAGCTGAACATCAATCTAGTTACAACAGCTCTTTTTCCTCTAGAGAATTTTGCTCTAGCACTAAGAAACAACATCTAGGAATGCAGCTGTGCTGGTGACCTTTCTTCACACAGAGCTAGATCAGACTAAGTAAAGAAAAATTTTGGTCCAGATGAAAAGTAAGCCTCATTTCCCCAGGAAAGTCTCAGGAGCATGGTACACAGTTCTGTAAGAACATCAGCTCAATATTGAGTAGGAATCAAAACAGAAAAAAAAAATGTAAAGGCAAAAAGGAGTCAAAAGAGTAACAATAATAGTTACAATCAAATGTTTAAAACGAATTATGTGAGGAACTACTTTGAAGATTCAGACTTGACAGTCTAACAGTTTAGAGGAAATACAATAAAAACGTATAAAATCAAGAAGAAAACAGAGCGCCTAAACAACTTTTTCCAATACACGACGAGTACAAAATGAACATGAATTGGTTCTTGTGCAGCAGGCAACCCTGCAGCACATTGCCAAAGAATGCTGCAGTCACAAAGGGAAACTGGACAAGTGCATGGAAGAAGGACACGTTGCGGGGTTCCAAATGCACAGGCATGATGTGCAATTCATGAAAGAGCTGCAGCTGACTAGAGCTGGGAACTAAATAGTATTATTAGAGTAATTATACTTCCCCTGGAATTACACTTCCACAGGAAGTGTAGGAATCCACATGGAAACGACTGAGGTAGCCAGGACCATCCAAGACTGACAGGATGTCGGTTTTATGTTGTCTTTTCTTCTGCTGACTGACAACCTACTACTAGTTGCTACTCTGTTTTGAGCTGCTTCCTCAGACAACCACAGCTGCTGCACGAAACGGTTCTTCTAGAGATTAAAAAGGGGCTTTTGTTATGTATTCCCTCCCTAACCGAAACTCTCTGAGCTGAAGGAGGGAGAACCACCACTGATACTGCAGGGTTCTGTTAGCGATAGTTAAGAATAGACAGAAACAAAACAGGAATTGACGTAGGTTTAGCAGAATCTGGGATACCAAAAGAAATAACCATGGAAACAGGAAAATGCAGCGGCCTGGGATAGCACAACTCATTGAAAGCTGTAGAAGGATGCAGTGCTGGGCAGGAGGTAAACAGACGTGTGAACGTGAAGTCCCGTAGCAAGGCAAGAACCCAGGGTGCTCTTACACCCAACAGGCACACACCACAGCCAGCGCAGCTCAAAGATTAACACTCCAGATACTGCACTTAACCCTGGAAAAGGCTTATCAAGCATCTCAGGCACGATCAGAAGCTTGGCGCCAGTTGGTGGCCCTGCAACAAGACAGCAGTGGCTCGCGAAGCCAACTGCTTGGTACTGAAGCCATGCGATGCCCCGGCCCAGCGCGCGGCTGGCCCCGACCGAGCAGCCCGCGGCCTGGGGGATTTCAGCAGCGCTGCCGCTCGCGCCTACGTCAAGAGCTCCCAGGAGGCGGCCAGGGGCCTGGCTCAGCGCTGCCCTTTCCCCTACAGGCGCCCATGCTGAATCCTCAGAACCACGCAGGCGTTAAGAGAAAAGAAAAATTTCAAAAAGGAAACAGCAAAAAGCAAGCCGCCAGGCGCCGAGGCGGGAGCCAGCCCTGCTCGCGGTGCTGCCCGGCACGGACAAAGGCAGCGCAACG